TCTATAGGCAAAGGCCTATGATATGTTAATAAATAAGTTATAAATGAGGCATCAACTATGTACACAATACAATAAAAATGCAATAATTTATTGACATTCCTTTTTTAGAACTGACACTTTGTCCATTGAAATATATTCGCAGGAATGTAGGATTATGCTGCCATATAACAGCCATGATTCCCCAAGCACTAAAGAAATCACAGCTAAAAGTCCTTTGCAACAACAATTTTAGAAGCATCAATCTGCTTACCCTACGCCATATTGACATAAATGGCATCACATACTCGCATAAATTGACTTTGATATTTTACATTCATGCATACACTTCTGTTGTTCTTTACTTACGATTTTGGATGTAAATTTCTGCCGAGAAAACTGAAAACAATGTTGGCTTGCTTTTGAACATCACTGACTAAATTGTCGCTCGCAAGATTGTCTTTGCCAAGCATTTACAATTCATCCACATAGTTTTGGACAGCATCATTCGTGGCAATATATGAATTTGTAAACGATTTCCATAAATTCCATCTGATTGTAGTTTAGTTTCTCTCATGCTTTAGAAAATTACTACGAAACGATCAAACATTCAATTCAGACAGTGAGCTTGACTGTGTTAGTTCAGTTGGCTTTCAGTCGAAATTGGTCAAACCCAAAACAGTAAGACAAAAATTTAAACGAACCAATTACACGTTAGCAATGGGACTCCCTTATCGGTCCGGCCACCCCGCTTATCGGTCGAGATTATTCCAGATTGTCCACTGATCTGGCTATTGACCAATGTAATGGCTTAAATAAGCGTTCTTGAACTCCGTTATCCGTCGAACCAGTCGAGCCACCCCGCTTATCAGATAGCCAGTTAATAAAATTCTAGATATGTTTTTATCTATTGATATGTTTGCTAAGTTGGTATTTGTATAAGTTTTCATACATAAAACAGCATTTTGACGATGAAATCCAAACGATTACAGAACGAAAATTTAATGATCAAAAAAATTGTAATCATTAAACTTGATTAATAATTTTTGAACTATAAACATAAGTCGTGTGACTGATTTGACATACCCTAGATCCGCCCCTGAAGAGGAGGGCTGAGTGTTTTTTGAGAAAGAACTGTGAGCCTATGGACTGGCGATAACCTCAGGATTGATAACTTTCGCATGTCCAGGAATTTCTTTTTTCTAGTATGTAAGGAATTGCATAAAGCATTACTTAAAAAGCATACAAAATTTCGTATAACAGAATTGTTAAATGAGGTGTGTGAGGCTGTAGTCGAAGTGCTTTTACGTAGTGTTATTAAATGGCAGCAGAAGCACTGAAATCAGTCATTATTGGATTTCCGACTCAATGGCAATTTACTCAGTGTCCGCATCTCCATTACTGCCCCTATTAGAATACTAAGAAAATTACTAAAATAGGAAGTGTTTCTATTCCAACGTCAAAAATAATAAAATACAGTAGCTATGAACTTAAAGGCTCTAAGGATTGTGCGTTTTGCCATTTTACAGGAAATGTGTGGTAAAATCAAAAGCTAGGATTTGTTTGTTCTCTCACTGGAAACATATGGTATTTGAGTCACCAGTAATGAAGTTTCAGTAGCAATGTCGAATAGCCTAATCATCTTATCTCTATTTACTACTTTTCCTCGTAAATATTTTTGTTGACTAAAAAATAAATAATCTGGCCAATTCAAAATTACATCAAGTGAAATTAACTTATTTCTTACATCCCATGCATCCTTTTTCTAAGAATATATCTATGCAGTATTATTCAATGGTATGGTGTTCTTAAATTGATCACTGTTTTTTAAGGAGCAACAAACAACCTTTTTGCTTGGCTTTTGAAGTACAAATGTGCAAAAGTGCAGAAACTTGATGAACATTGCTGGGTTCATTCACAAGGCATGGGAAGTGACTTCCGGTAGTATTTTTGTGCAAAATTTTAAGTGTTTCATCATTATTGAGGACTTAGTATTGCTATAAGTATACAGGAATACAAATATAAGGGTACTTAATTAATTAGTGCTATAAGTATTATTAGCGAAAGTATAAAAGCTAAATCTTCCCAAATGCCAAATTGCAATATTAAAGTTAAGAAGGTGTGAAACTTTGCAAGCGATAGAGTCAAAATACGTTGCAAATTAAGTTTGTCTTCTGTGCGAATATATTTTGCATACTTTGTATTGTTTGTTAAAGGATAGCTTCGTTGTTTGCATTGTTACAAAATTATATTTCATCACTCATTTTAGCCACCTTATTGTAATAACTCAATCCATTCTGAGACAACAAAGTTGATTTCTTGACGTACACAAGACTAAACCTTTACTTGTGCCCCTCCAGAGCAAGAGCAGTAATAAAGAAGTAATCATTTGATGGTATATAGATAATATCATACCTAGTATTGTACAACTCCAAGAGGAGCATTAGAAGTCACATTGCTCACTGAACACACTAATGCATCCAGTCTCTCCAAAATTGACACTAAACGTTCTAATGTTGTTGATGCTTGAACAATTGAGGCATTTGTTTTCCAGCTTTTCCCCTTTATCCGTACTTAAATTCTGAAAATTACGAAAGATCCATGTTGATATTTCTATACCCATTATGTAGCACCAGTTGATGAGTAATCTTTGTTTATTTTTTACAAGCCAGAGAGGATATGATGTACCATAACAACAACCACTTTTAAGAAAAAGGTGCAATTTGAATAAATTACAAATATCATTTATTCATTTTGCCAAACATTAATTTTCCTATTTGACAGATTTTCAATATTTTCAGTTGAACTTGCCATGCCCAGAGACTTGATGGCTTCATCGATTGAAACAGCTTTCGATTGGTCACTCAGAAACAGATCCAACTGCTCAAAGAACTTAGGTGCCTTTGCTCTTTCTTCTCCATGTGATTTGCAAACTCATTTTGCCGTCTATTTCTACATTTTTGTGAGTTTTAGCCATCATTTTTCAAACATTCTCCCGGCTTAAAATATAAATTAGCGATAAGACTTCTTTGCTCCTTTGTGTCTCCCTCGTTTAGCCATTTTTTTTAGAAAAACTTTCAACATTTAACAATATAGCCCAGCAGAAAAGAATATTTCGTGAGTGGCGTGATTAATTTACGCTTATATAATTACACACTATAATTTTATGTATAACGTCACTTCCGGCTAAATGGTGCGCTTTGATTGGCTCAAAAACATATTTTGCCTGTACATAATTTTCCTGTAATCGAACACGGACCAGAACGTGTAATTTTACAGTCAAATGTGAACAAACTTCGCAATGCAGACAGGAAAACGCAAAATAAACGAAACAAAAAATAATTTACGAATGTGATTCGAAAAAAAAACACTTGGAAAATAGTTTAACTATCCAGACGATACAATTTGAAAAATATTTTTTTATGGCCGAGAACTAGAAAAGTGAAAGCCAACCGGTAAAAAAGCAATAAGGGCGAAAAAGAAAGCAAGCTTCGTTTCAAGTCAAATATTACCATATAATAAACCTATTAATAACCTCGCTTTCTTGGTCTTCACTGAGAAATATCAGAGCTCTGCATTTTTGTACAAACCTCGCCCTACGGGCTTGGTCTGAAGAAAAAAACTCCTCCGATATTTTTCCGTAAAGACCTCGTGCTCGGTTATTAAGGGCCTAAAGCTGGTCTTATTTAAATCGATCTTAATTGGGTCTTGGCTAGTTTTTGACTGTCTACACTTGGCCCATGGCTCGACATGAGTCAAAATTGATCTCGGATCGATCTATATTGCTAGTGTGAACAACCCCTACAACGTTTCCATATGACTTATACTTACAACTGTTTACGCAACTGCTGAATTTTGTAGCAAATGGCAAATTATTGCAAATATTGCCCATTCTGTAAGAAAATGATTTTTTCCAGTTTTTTTTTACACAGAGCAATATGCAATTCCTCAGGGCTCTTTGTTTTTTTGACAAATTATGGTGCCTCTAATATGAATTTTTTGACATCAATATGTAGAGTCGCTTGAGTCATTTATTGAAATTGTATTACATGATCTCTAAAGCACAAATTAGTCATAACAGATATCCACTATGATGCCTTCCAAACTATTGTTGTGGGATTTTTTCCTAGTAATGGTAATACACGTTACTTTTTATATAATTTTGCTAAATGGTGTTTTAAATAAGGTGTCAAGTCACAGTTTTTTCTGCTTTTATATCCTGCTAATTATGAATATTAACATTTTCATATATCTCATAGATGGCAAGATTCCTTGTAGTAGAATTCCAGTGAACAGAAAAGTATGCTAAGATAATACTGGAAATAGTTGAAAGCTGCAAGATATTAGTTTGGTGTGCCATAAGAATGACGGCGGAGTTCAAGGACGAAGGATTAGCTATATGAGTGCTTTCATGTTTACAATGGTTTGAAAAGACTTTCAAAGAGATTACACAAAAATGTGAATTTTGAAAAAATATTACAATAGTTTGTAGTAGCTATAATTTAAAACAGGTTCATGCAGGCCTCTCTAAATATATTGACTATAAATGAAGAAATGAAGATTGGCCAAAAGAAGTTTAAGTTGGTTAAGAACTACGGAGACAAGTAAAATCTTTTAGTTCTTATCACAATTGACGTCTTATCCATGTATTGATAAGATTCAAGAAATGCTGTTGGCTAGCTAAAGACACGTGCAAGAATGTGATTGTGGCTAGCGGAATATACAATTAAAGGCTAATCAATTTTGTTAAAATCTTGTTATCAAAAACAACGTACAAATTAACGTGTGAAAAACGGTTTTTTTCGTTTTCTTTTTGCAGAAATATGTCAATTGCTTCGACTAACTCTTCTTAATGTCACATTTTTCCATTCAGAGATAAATTCAGGTAAATATTTGAATAATTTTACCGTTTGTTTGTAATTTGAAAACAAAAAATTTTGAGACGTTAATTCCGTACTTATGTCCTCCTACTGGTCAAAGCTCTCATATAGTATGCTTATCATATAATAATTGTTACTTGAATGTCATATAATTTTTACACCACAACTTCTGGCTTGTTTAATAAATAATTCCTTGGCAAAATTGTATAGCTTAATATCCGCTTTGTTGAGCTTACTAATGAGAAAGATAACATCTCTTTGAACATTTTTCTTGACTCCCCTGTTCAAAACTTGTTTTGAAAGTTCTTTTATCTTTTGCAACGAATTCTGGCAAACGCTTTTGTAAAACGCTCACAAACTCGCTCAAGTGTTCAACTACCCCAACACTCGCGTAGTAATTAAGCAAGTTGTGCTTAGCTTGCAACAGTGCTTTCCTACCGCCCGTTTTGCAAATTGCATCTGGTCCACAAAAGAAACGAGTCATCAAGTTCCATTTACAACCTTCGTACTGATTGCTAAGACACTCTTCTAAGCTTACATTCCAATGTCCGAGTGATTTAAGTCTCCTTATTCTTTTCGGTAAACGCTTTAGACTTCTTGTGTAGTAATAATGCGAAACTAGTCGCTCAACAGGGTCACGTAAAAGATTGATATACGTGTGATGGGCCGTAAGACCAGTATTTCTTCTAAAATAGAAGTGTGAGATAGCAAGAGTTCGTCTTTGGTACTTCCTTTGATGACTTGTTGCTCTCATACAAATGCGCCTGATGATCGGATGTGACATTTTTTCACTTGACCATTCTTCTGTTGATTCTACATTAAAACCACTGTTTACTTCATTATTATGCTTACACATTTGCTATGTAAGTGTAATTGCATGCAATCAGAAGACCTTGAGCGCCAAACCTCAAAATTAACATAGTCGAAACTGTCTTAATCTTAATAAGAACAATTGCAACATATTTTATTGGATTTTTTTGCCCAGAATTAGATGATTCAGCTCCGGAAATGACGTCCACATGAACACATGCACTAAAGATATAAAGCTTTCATGATACAAGTTTACAGTAAACAACGAACGCTTAAAAGTTGGAACTGTTTCAGAATCGATTTCCATATACAATTCTATAATAGCGTAAAAATTTTACACTTTACAAGCGAGCATTATCTTTTATAGACGTTATTCCAGCGCCGAGTCACCAATTTCTACGGCATAATTGTACATGAACATTAGATTTAGATATAACAAATATTTTTGCAAATGTTCTTAAATCCAATTGATCTATATAAATAGAAATTATTTCCCTCACCCTCATGTAAGCAATTTAAAGGAGATGTACACTTAATAAGGGTTTCATTCTTACGAATTGCTGCATGAAATTGTTATCAGGGCGTCACTTAATACCAAGATACTTAAAACAGATTGGAAAGTGTTTTGCAAAAACCACATATTTTTGTTACAATTTTAAAAGCATCTTTCAAAATTTATTAAAAGGATATTTTTGACGGAAAGCGAATCACCTTTTTGGACATCGTAGTGCAATTGTTCACCGCAGCCTTCCAGCATCGATGTCATTGTCGTGCTTGCTGTTTTAAAAATTCTGTTGTACAAAACAACTTTAGGATGTATTGCCATGCAGTTGTGGTTTGAAACATTCATTAGGTAGTTATTGCTTTTATTCTTGTTTGAATTAACGGTATTTTTACACCCAGCTCTTACAGTTTTGAATCAAAATTATCCTGAGCTTTGAGTTTTCTGAAGACGACATTGTCACTGAGAGGTTGCCATTAATCCTGAACTTGGAAATTTGTATCAATAATGTTACGTAGCTTTTTGAAATGGCCGCAATTTGAAAAATAACCTCTGGAAGAATTGTTTTTTGCAAAATTATCAAATAAAGAGTGCTCGTTGCAGCAAAGAAAAGTAAATGTTTTAAATGAACTTGGCGGCGTAGATATCTCGGTCTTAATCTTTTTAACATTTCTTGTTTTAAATATTAGCTTTCTAAAAAATAAAACACACAATATTATAAGAAAAAATGTCATCAATATATATAAAAGAACGATAAAGAAAATTGACTAAAAGTATTCAAGATAAAAGAGTGCTTAATATCTTTATGGAAAATACAAATTTATAAAAATAAAATAGACTATATCATTAAATCATTCACTACACAGTGTTTCACGTCTTACGGCGATCGCCGATCATCAGGTAAATAAAAACAATAAAAGTAAATTTCTGCTAACTATATGACGTCATTTGCTGTTTAAAAGAATAGTAATACAGTTAAGCTTTTAAAAATCACTATAAACCTGAGATATTATTGATAACCTGTTTTCAAGTAATACATCACTTCATCTAGATAAGTCGAGATGCACATATTAGAAAAACCCAGACATTGTATGTACGTAGAAACATATTTTTCTTTGTAAAAATGCCACGTTCGTTTTTTTAGTTTGAGTTTCACAAATGTTCGAAAGTATGAATAAAACTGTTTTTAAATACAAAAACGCAAACAGAAATAATTATGGAAAGAAAGCATAATGTTTTATTGACATATTAAATGATAGAAAATTGGCATTCTAGCAAAGAATCATGGCAAAAATGGTAACTTTCGCAGTCACACAAAATGGCTGCTGGAATGAGCATTTTGCCAGTAAGAATATCCCTTACTTATTTTTAACACTCTTTTAAAAACAAGTGAAAGTTCTAAGATAACAACTATTTTCAATGCTTTAAAGTTTGTATATATTGACTCAAGAAAAGCAAATTAAAGCAAAACCAATTAAGAACATCCCCGTAGAAGAACTCGGCCTTTAATAAAAACTATTGCCTCTGTTATCGTTATATTTCTGCTTTCTTAGTTGTGATTGGTTCATTTCCCGTGTAAGATAAAAACCAAGAAATATATCAGTAAATTTGTTTCATTAATGCATTTGGCCGTATGAGATATGAAATTTATAGTTATTTTAACCCATAGAAATATTTTTAAAAGTGTTCCAAAGTTGGATAGATTGTAGAACAGCCTACCAATAAAAATTTTGAAATTTCATTATTAATATTATAAATATTATTTGTTCAGCCAATTTAGGTTGGTCATACGGATTAAGTTGATAAGAATCATTTCAAACATTGTAGATCGTTTCATGGAGAATGAGGTGAATGCTTCATTTCGGAAAAATAAAAGGACACAGAAGAGCTAGAACATATGAAGAGGGTAAACAAACTTTACCAAGCCATAAGCCAAGCATAGTGATGAAGCACTGCAATTATAAAAAAAAAACTAAATGTCTTCTTCTATTGTACAGTCTTCATCTACTGTTAATATATCTGAGAAACAACTGACAAAAGTTTGTCGCAATAGATCTTGAAATTATTAAAATAAGGTGAAAAAGTAATGGCAGGCAGTGGACCTAAAACAGGGGTGTAGCCAGAACGATGATCGGGATGGGGATATTTTCATATAGCCATTCATTAACAATAATGGATTTCAAAGAAACTAAAACGTCATGTCATGCATATATAAATATGCTCCCCACCCTTAACTATCATTCTGGCTATGCGTGCTTGCCTTAAATACGAAAGAGCTTCACCACTAGACCTATGATTAAACATTGCACTTTCTTTTTGACCAAGCACAATTTAGAAAAGAGGATTACAAAAAAACTAAAAATGTCAAAAACAAGATGCCTGTTAAGAGGGATAATCCAAACAAAGCTCTTCCATTTTGAAATGCAATCATGATAGGTTAGGATTAGGGCTATAGTAAAAAATGTAGCAAAACTTGTAAATTTTACAAGTGTATAGCAGGGCATTCATATATTGTTCTCATTTATACTTAACTCTTTCGCGACTGAGATGTATTAATGAGTTCACTTCCGGAAGTGTTGGTTTGTTATCAAATACTTTGACGAGTAAATAGCATACCATCCATGTGTACTTCTTGCCGATATAAATTTTATCATTTATAAAGAAACATAACAGTTGTTCTGCGAGTTCAACATTATTTATATATTGTTACGCAAACACTTAATAGAGTTGATCGTAAGCTATAAGAAAATTCATTCATTTTTGTACATGAAGATGAAATTTGAGTGTTTTACAATAAAAAGCAGAGCAGTTTTTTGAGTATTGATAAAACAACTTCCATTGCCATAGCGTTATATACATATAGCTTATTGCAAAATTGTCGCCCTGACACTTTTATTAAATAAAAGTGCAAAATAAGTCCTTTTATGAAAAAATATGATGCAGAATCCAGATATATATTCTTGAATTTTAGCCGATCGGCTATCCGAGCATACTCGTTACGCCTTGAATGAATGCTTTGAATGAATGCTTTGACTGGATAAAAAATCTTTCAAAATGGCAATACTTTTGATGTTTCTTTGGTAAAATTTGGATGAATATCGAAGATAATACATCAAAATAAATCTTTCAATAATTTGAAGGGACACGCTTTATGAAATGTTATGAGTTTACATTTTCTCAAAGCCTAATATTTCGTGTAAAACGCTATCAAAACATATGAAATTCGTCAGTTAGTAAGAACTGCATGCAAGAAATAATTTGATGGTAAGTTTGTCTTTGTACGTTTGGTATATGAAAATTTATGAGATTATAAACTTTTCCAGAACAATTGTTCAGGAAAAAAGGTCCTGGTAGCGAAAGAGTTAATTGCAATGTTGTTTCAATGATGGACTTATATTTCCTCATACCTGCGTCGACTTCAACATGCAAAATAATCCTACCAGAATACTCATCGGCCACTCTTGTATATGAAATAGTGATGCATTTGCTGTTTACTAAGCCTACTAACCTGGAAATGCTAGATAATTTTCTTTTTAATTTGGAGCGTATTTTAAGTTCATCATCTGAGCTTCTATTTTTCTACTTTGATTTTGTTAATCAATTTTATTTTGATTTTGCTGTTGTAGCGTAAATAAAAAGCTTAAAAGAATTGAAAATAGTGTTCTGATATCAAAACCTTTAAATGCTTTTAAAAGGTGTTAAAAATAAGTGATAATTTTTATATGAAAATTGCTCTCTCATATATGCTCCCATGATGTTTTGCTAACGAGCGAATTTTCTATTCACTATGTTTCTAAGTTAAAGAATGGCAGGCAAATGTCTTATTTTCATGACTATATTAACAGAGATTATCCTTAATCTTATAGTTCATTATAGAACCAGACTCATGTTAGTATGCCTCAGTACTGCTATGGACTATGACGTTAGAAAACAATAAACTATCTACAAGTGAGAATTGACTTAAAAAATTGAGTATGAATCATTTCCAAGCAAAAAATAAAGAAAAACGAATAGGAATGTGGCGTCGGCTATATAAATCTATAGTTCGTGAGCAAAACGTGTTTCAGTTATGACGTCACAGGTATTACATTGGCCACTCGAAACATTCACACTTTATAGTCTGGTGGCACAATCTTAGAATAGCCATATTTGCACGTTTGATGGACATTTATAGTAGAAGCAGGAAAAAGAACTTAAAATAACCAATTCGTGATCATTTTAAGAATATCCCTGTTTCAGCTTCAATGATATCTCTGAACGTGTAAAGAGGCTTTGATACAGGCATGTTGTTTCTTCTACGTGATAACGAGGCTGACATAAAAAACGTTTTAAAATCCAGGAAAAAATTTTTTGAGGCTGTGTAAATGCAGTTAAAAGTATTCAGTGTATAAAAGTATTTGTACCTGTTCAATAAAAAATACGGGTTTTTCACTTTGCATAAACGATTCCTCACGTTACTAAAAAACCCTCGATTCCTCGCTCGATACTTGCTTTACTTTGCCAATAAAATTTCACGCTCTGAAAGCAATTCTCAGTTTAAAATAATGGTATTATCCTCACAAAAAGTTCAAATGTAGACGAAAAAATGTGTACGTTTTTAGACTTTTTTTGTAATGGAACTAAAATGGAAGCTATTGCATCGCTTTCCACAACCGTAGCTACAGCAAGAACTTATTCATCATTAGTGTCGTCGTGCCATATTTACTGGAAGAGATGTTTTTAAAGCGTTCAGCAAACAAACTTTTTCAAGCTTTTTCAGGAGGTATGAAACGTTTTTTAGAATATGCAGGTGTACGAGAAAATTGCAGTTATTTTACGTTCCAAGACACCAATGATAGATTGAAAAATTTGAACGCGAATGAATATGAGAATCAAATACTTTGGCATCAAAGTTGTTTCGGTAGCTTTACAAATAAAGAACGCATTCAGCATCTTTAAAAGCGCGTAACTGCAATACAAACGCAACATGCCAAAGCTAACAAGGCAAACTCAGAACAATTACACGATGAACCAACTCTGAGAAGATCTCATGTCGATTTAATGGATTGGTCAATGGTCCAAGTGTATGTTTTGCCAAAACAATGTTACAGGCATGAAGTTAAATAAAGTTCAAACATTTGAAACGTCTCAAAAAAAACTAGAAAAGGCTTACTTAAATCCTGTGCTGAATAGTAGGATAGCAGGTGCAAATGATTTGATTGCGGCTGAAGGGAAATATCATCTGAAA